CCAGCGCCACAGCGACTTACAACCGCTTCCTGCCCCTGCCCAGCGCCAAGCGCTGCACGCCAGGGGAGGTCGCCACCGACGCTGCTCCCAGGAACAAAAGGGACGTGCAGGCAGACAGGAGCAAGAAGCTGAACGTCAGGTGGGCGGAGATTTGTGTGTGTCGACGGTTTGAGAAGGGCATTAACACGCTCGGAGTGACTTGCATCCTCAAAGAGATCCTACAGCTTGATGTTTAGTTATTTCAACTGCGGGAGTTTCTGCCATAGAGAGGAGCGACAGCCGTCCAGCGTTCCCATGGAAACGCCTCCACTTCAGCCTGACACGACTGTGACCCGAGCAACGTCTTGCGGCGGATTGGAAAGGGGAGGAGGAGGGGGGAGGGTGAGATGCACGAGATGTGACTAGACTGGAGGAGGAGGACGTTTAAGACCAATGGGAAAATCTAAGTTTGTCAATGTCAATATTGTTTAAGCATCCGAAAGCGATTCCGGCATCATTTTGACATTATGAATAGTGCTGTAATCTCCATTTTTACATATTTTTTATTTTATTTTTACTAGTTTTGAGCAAATAAAAGCAGTAAAAGTGCGAGGGATAAAACAAAGAGCTCAACATGTTTTTTTTATTGTCTCTCTGTGTAGACAGAGCAAAACTGGACCGAAATCTTTTTGGGGATCAATATAAACACATTTTTCCAACCCAAAAGTCTCCTAATTTAAATCAGCAAACACCTTATAAAGCAGAGGATAAAAGTTGAAAACCAAGCTACCTTTAAGGGGCCTTACTCTATGGACACATTTAAGTTCATAGTCAAAAAGTATTATTTGATACCGAGTAATGAGTATTATCTGTACTATTCTTTGAATACATGCACGTAGAGGGAATCACTTCTCACTTCAACTCTTTCAAGATTTACAACGTGTTTGACCTCCGAAGCCAAACGACTGCAAGTACGTGTGGAATCACACCTCCACGGTGCTACTACATCAGCACTGCGCCGCTCGCTGCCAACCGACTCAGAAGAACTAAGAAGAATCCAGCAGAGACGCTTCACTTCTCACCTCATCTGTTGATGCGTCTTAGTGCACGTTGTTTTCGTGTGTGTGTGTGTGTGTGTGTGTCTCTCTCAGTGGTTTGGCGAGTGCCAGCGGGTTTTATGACCCCGTCTGCCTTCAGTGAGATTGAGCCCGTAAACTTGGCGGTCTGAACCGCATCATAGCGGCACTCCATCCAAAGTCTTTCCCTCAGCTCCAGGAAGCCTTTTAACTATTGTGAATACACACACACACACACACACACACACACACACACACACACACACACACACACACACAACCTCGCTCACCCCATCCCCCCAAAACTATTTTTAAACCAAATTAGCTTCAAATCAAAAAACGCGAGGCACGTTGCGCGCTATATTAAAAAAAAGAGCCTGACGCCAGACGAGTATCACTCAGCCCCATTTTCACATACTCACGGCTTTATGACTTAATATCCCTCTGCTGTGTATTTGGCTACGTTTTTCCATAGAATTCCCAAACCTCATGTCGGCGTTCGTGGTCATGGGGAGGACTGACCTTGTCGGAGTAGGGCTCCTCCGTCAGGTCGATGCCCTCGGCCTCCAGCCGCTGTTCCAGAAGGGTCAGCAGGTCGGGACTCAGCTTGCCGTGGGACACCTTCCTCGCGACGGCCGCCTTGCCCCCCCGATCCGAGAACCAGGGCGGCTGCGCGGCCGCCGGAGCGCCCGGCTGCTCGCCCGGGGACGGCGGGGCGGCCCGCGGGCTGCTGGGGGTGCTCGGGGTCTTGGCGGGCAGAGCTGGGGCCCCGTATCCGGAGCTGCGGATTACGGGGCTGCTCGGGTGAGAACGGGTGAGGGAGTGGCTGGGGGAGGCAGCCGGCGACGGCGAGGAGGGCAGGGAGAGAGGGGGGTGGCGCGGGCCGTTGGCCGGTCTTTCCCTGGACTTCTTGGCCGGGACGGGAGGAGGCACAGGGGGCTTTTTGAAGTGAGTCCAGGGGACCCGCTCCCCGCTGGCGTTGGGAGCCGGCGGGCTGCAAGGACGGCCGGCAAGGAGCTCGGGGGGGCTGGGGGACTGGGTGGCATGACAAGCGGGGCGGAGGGGCAGCTTGGAGGGAACGGGTGGCCGGTTGGCCCGTCCCTTTGGGCTGACCGCCGGGGTCTCGCCCCGCGGCGGTGAACCGCCATCCCTGCGGACCTCGGCGGGACAACCGCCGCCCGGCTTGGGCGCGTCCTTGAGGGCGAGTTTAAGCTCGGCGCCGAGATCCTTGGGCTCGCAGCTCCGGTCCCAGTGCAGATCCCCCAGGGAGTGGGAGCGCTTCCAGGCCCCAGCGGGCTGCGGGGGTCCGTCCAGGTCCTCGCAGCTGCGGCTGGCCGGGATGGGGGGCCGCCTCTGGGCTTTGCGCAGGCCGAGTAGGCTGAAGCCCTTCAGGGAGGGTTTGATGAAGAAGCTCTTGGGGAACTTTGCGCGGCGGTTCTTGCTCCCGTTGTGCTGCAGGGCCTCGGTTGAGAGGGTCATGGGCAGTGTGGGGTAGTCCGGTGACTGAAGGCCTGCCGAGGAACGACTGGACCGGGAGGCCTTTCTGCTCTTACCTGCCAAGTGGAGACATTTATCCTCGTTTAGTTCACTCATCTGAGAAACCTCCAACTTTTACATGTTACACAGATCTGATGGATCTATTGCTGCTTTGTGTCCACACTATTTGCCTTTATAGCGTTTACAGCACTGGTCTCCATAACACAAGTGAGTTAAGGCTTTTGCAGAAACTACTCATATTAGCAGGACATTTACTCATTGTATGAGGCAAACGGACAAAATGAGAGGAATATTTATAAAGAGGGGCTTGTGTACCAGCGTAATAAGAACTTGCTTATTTGTTGTCAGCATTAGCGGCAAACACAAAATAAAAGATATGTGGACGGGGGGGTTCAGAGGGTGTGGAACGAAAGCGACTTACCGTCCGTCCTCTGGCTTACAGAGCTAAATGGAAGGATGGAACGCCACGTAGTGTGGATTGCCAGAGTTTAAAAAGGTGGGATGACAGAAAGATGTTCAGAAGAAGGAATGTTGGAAAATGAAAATGTCAACCAGCACTTTATATTACAGCTTAGTAATAACATGATTTGGCAATAGTGTAATAAACCGGTATCAAACGATTGCCTGGCTAATATTAGTCAATGTGAATGTTACACAACTCATGGATTGTCTCGTCAGTCTTTACTAAAATGAGTTTTACACGCTGAAATACAAGGACAGAATATTACATTTGACTAAACTGATCAAAATGTCATTAAAATCAATGGTTTATATTACACTAACAGTAAACTTGAATTCATTTAACATACACGTAGAAATGAATAAAAGTTGAGAGATCACAGAATTTAGTTTGAATACATGACAAAGTGTTACCACATGTAGTTATATTGATCAGCCACATGTATGTTAAAGGAAGGTCCTTTGAATAAAGGAGCAGTGACTTTACTCTAGTTGGTCTGTTAATTATGTCAATTTAAATCAAAAGTTTCCCTTCGCCGAACGTCCAGACTTATAAATATTCAGAAATGTCCATTAATATAAAGTGCTATTTGAATGTTTTATGACTTTCTACCCTGACGCTGCAGTAAGAAATAACGCTTACGAGATGTTATGCAGCTGGTTTGTGAATATGGTTTAGTGACATGGAAGAAACAGAAAAGAAGCGAAACATGAACGAAAAGCAAGCGGCGGAGTCCTTTAATAAAGAAGTGGCTTTTATTCCACAACAGAGGGACAAAAGGCATCCCTTGTTATGCAGGTGGATAGAGACTTTTTTTTTTAAATGCACCAAAAAAGAAATCTCACATATTACACTTCAATAAAATTCTATAATCAAAACTTCTTCTCACAATCTGTACCCTACTTTTAAAAAATATATTTTCATCCACATCTTTTTTTTAGGCACATCTTATATGGTTTAAAGAACAGGAGAAGCAAACGTTAGCTAGGATGCTGACGCATTTCTTTTCTTTTTTTTCTTCTTCAAACTTTATCAGCCACTACAGCAAAAAAAACAACAGAAAAACATTGACATGCTACTCTGCAAGCTATTTTTTTTTTCCGTGTTAAAAATCCTTTAAAAAAATCATGTGCAACGATCACACATAACGCCTCAGAGATGAAAAGCGTGGTTTAAAAAAAAAAAAGTGGCGTGAAAGCATAGTTTATAAAGAATGAGGTGATAAGAGGATCCGTCTCTGGAACAACGTATGGCTGAGGTTTAAAGGGCGAGATGTGGCAGAAAAGGGAAGCGGTTCCAGAGGAGTGAAATGGACGAAGGGATTCCAGAAGGAGCGAGAGAGAGAGAGAGATGCGGAGACCCGCAGAAAAAATCCAAAAAAAAAATAAAAAAATTGAAGGAAGCTTTGGCCCTCGGTGGTCCGGACTAAGGAAAGCCATCATTACCGTTCTCCAGGTTCTCGTTGCTCTCGTAGCAGCCGGAGTCTCGCGGGGAGTCTCCCACCAGGCCCCAACCTTCCGACAGCAGCTTCTCCTGGGAGCCCGACACGCCGCCGCGCTCCGGATCACTGCTGCCTGAAAAAACCCCAAAGAAACAGAGAAATGAGAAAACATTCGTAGCTTCCTGCAAATAGTTTTTGGAAATGGATCGTAATTTTTGGCCTTCAACCGACAGAAATGCAACCGAGAGGTTTTAGTCAGTGAAGAGTCATCACACATCCATATATATATATATATAAATATATATATATATACACACATCACACATCCATCTATATATATATATATAAATATATATATATATACAAATTTGTTCGCTACTCACTGTCGTACTCCTGAAGCAGCTCTACGGCAGTGAGCAGCACGGCTCTGTGCTGAGGATCTCTGATGTTCAACTCGTCCAGGTCCTCCTCTTCCAGCAACTTAAACGTGTCCAGGTCCTCGTAGCCGTTGAAGAGGAAAGTGGGCAGGTGCTCCTGCACGACAGCGACGAAACGTTTCGAGATCAAAGATTATTTAAGCCGGGAGTACATCAGTTGTAGGAACGTTGGATGACAAACCAAACGAGAAGCAGCAGGACGGCGTTTGTGGATGAACCGAAGATGGAGACAATTACGTCAAAGTGTTCGTCAACCACAAGAGACCAAGTTCAACACACCAACACCAACAAAAGCAAAGCTATTCCCCCCCAAAACGCCAAGTTACCTGGGAAGACGCCGACAAAGAAAGAAAAAAAGCATTCAAATCTAGATACGTGTTGAACACACTCGTAACTGCATCCGCTCCGAATACCGTTTGTAACGCTTAAAAAACACTTTCGCTGGACCAAAACAGAAGATTTGTGTCCCAAGACCATCAATCAAAATGTTGGGAGTCCACACAGAGAACTCTCTGTTTCTCTGTTCTGTTTCTGCTGGATTAAACCGCGGCAAAACAAAAAGGACCACCAACCAACACAAACACAGGCAGCCGGATCCTCTCACCGCTCACAGGATCGCTTTTCTAGTTGGACTGTCGCGAAAAAACAAAACAAAAAAATAAACTCTGGGAAAGAAACCCATCCGGCCCCTAAAAGTAAAGGGTGTGGAGGTTCACGTTGTGCGAACGTGGGTGTCACTGTTTACGCACCAAAACGCGTCGGATCAAACATGCCGAGCTGTGCAGCCTGTAATCCCCTACAATGTATTTATCTCTGCTCGCCCGCATGTGTGTGTGTGTGTGTGTGTTTTGAAGGTATTTGCCTCAAGCTTTATTTCAATTCACTTCCTAAGACAAGAAAATCACTCGTACGATATTAAATGTTCTTAATACTGTACTTTGAGGTTGATGCGCTCCAGCAAATCCTCCACGGATAAAGGTTTGGGTGGTCGGCCCTTCCTCCTCCTCCTCACTGGCCTCTTGGGCTTCTCTTCTTCCTCGATCAGCACGTCCACGTAGATGAACTTGAAGGTGCCCACCTTGTTGTTCAGCAGGCCCATCCACGTTCCCATGGGAGGCTTACTGATGATGTCAATCACGTCGCCGCACTGCACAATAGCCGCGAGAGGAGATCATTCTCAATATTTGAACATTTAAAAACAGAAAAAAACAGAAAAAAACAGCCACAGCGAGCGAGTTTTACCTTCAGTTTGAGGGAGTCAGAGTCGTAGGGGCTCGGGGTGAAGTCTGTGTGGACCCGGGCGCGCCCACAGAACGGCCCCCCGTAAGGCGGCTCTTCGTCATCGCCATCCTCCGACTTCACGCTTTCCCGGTTACTGGCTGAAGAGTCGGTGGTGCTCACTGTCTGACCGCCTTCACACACACACACACACACACACACACACACACACACACACACGCACACACACACACACACACACACACACAAATATTTAGTTTTTCGGTTACTGTGGAATAAGGTACATGTTTGAAGTAGCTTTGCAAGAATAAGTTTTAAGTTGAGGGGAAAAAAACAGTGATTTTATAATGTCACGCGCTTATTTTAACAAATTTGTGCCGTTAAAACACTTGTGTGTTGAGTTAGCAAATACTTCTCAAACTAGAAACTAGGCGGAAAAGTTGAAGATTCCGTTAAAAGATTAAGCAATCTGTACACATCTGCAGTATGCAGTGAAAGCAGCACAGGTTACCAGCACCATCTAGAGTTAAAGATACACACTAAATAACTAATAATAAGCTTTCCTTATGTAAATAACATCCAGGCAGGGTTGTTGGAAACGATAATACTTGATTTAAAAAACGCTGAATCAGGTTTTGCGTAAGCAAGGACTTTTTTTTAAAGAATTTTTCAAAATGTCCAAAAACAAACAAAGGAAGGTCCTGCACGTTTAAAAACATTAGTGGTGAAAAGCCAGCGGGCGTCCCTCCTCCGACACACTGCTTCTCGTCTTACTCATGGAACTCTGTCCGCTCAGAGAACTACGCAGACTCTCCACCGAGCCTCCGGCCTTCAGCTTCGGCTTCTCCAGCGAGTCGGTGTCGGGCTGAGGGGACTGGGGCGAGCCGGGGGTTCCGTCCGGACTGGACTGAAACGGGGGAACGATGGGACACACAAAGAGACGAAGGTCATGAGTGGAGAGGAAAATGGTCCGCATGGTTAATCATTGAAAAACACGCGCACGTGATTCCTTCATTTTAAATGATTGAAGTGCTACAGTGACAGCTACTGCAGAGTGTTCTGACTGGAGTTCTCCACTAGGGGGCGTTGTGGTTCATTAAATGCACTTTGTCGCGGCGTCACCACATGGCAGCTCATGATTGACAGGCCTGCTCTTTAAGGGTGTGTCCTGCGGGGGGGAGAGACTCTTAACGCACTAATGAAACGCGCAGGACGGCCAGAAGAAAATAGGCCGGCGCCATTATACTCCCTCACACTCGGAGTCTGCGTTTCCTGAGAGCTCGCGACTGCGTGAGCTCAGCGCAGCCCCCGCCCTTCGCGCGGAGCGTGTTTCAGTGCTACGTGTTTATTCAGTAACCAACACAAACCCTCCCACCCACTCACAGCCGTGGCTTCGACTGAAAAACATCGAGATAAATAAACTGCAGAACCTCACAGCTGCACTTGACTCTGCTGTTTATGTGACGATTGTGTCATATTAAAAGATCGGATTTGACTAGAGGTGTTTACACACCTCACTCGCCCTCAGGAACTAATTCCATCTGAACAGCATTGGAAACATTGCCTCCGCGTGTTCGGGACTGACCTGCTCAGACAACGAGCTGCTGTATTTCTTCGACATGCGTTTCCTCATCGTCTCCTTGACCGACTTGACCTTCTTGCCCAGCGAGATGCGGGACGTGGTGGGGGATTTGACCACTTCTCTGTAAATGGCCTCCTGCTCTTTACTCTGGGTTTCAGACGAGGACAGGCAAAACGCAGACGAATGGACGAATGGACGGGGGGGAAACAGGAAGAAGACAAAAGGTGAGACAAAGTTTCTCTCCTCAAGGAGCCTCTTCAAATTTCACAAGCTGCCAGAACTTACATTTGCCTCCGAGCCCGCGTTGACTACAACGCAGCTTGCAGCTTTGGTCAGGTCAAAGCCCCCGAAGCTGTACGCTCTCTGTGGGGAGGGGGAGGGGGACAAAACACAAATCAGATGAATCACATTGAGAAGGCCCGGTTGTAGGAAGTCCCCAGCCGCACCGACTGTGAGGGGGGGGGGTCAACTCACAATGATTCATGCTGGACGCAACACAGGCGGGCGGCTCCTTGGAGTCGTGTACATGGGTATATGTGGTTTGTATAAAATGGTGCAGGGGGTGGGGGGGGGGGGATGTCTTATGGGACCCGTGGACAGCCAGACAGACATGATGTGACACCAACTTGCCAACTGTGGCAAAAATGAGCCGTTCCATTGACTGCGGAGACTCCAGCAACTTGCTCATAAATCCTCCAGAGGAAAATATCGCCTTAGAATCCGACCCGTCTTGACGCGGCCAAACTAAAACTTCATTTATACTCATTGCATTTCAGCCTGAGGCTAAACATCCTGCGGTTAATGATGAGCCTGAGAAGCAGGGCTCAGTATCCAAGCATGCACAAATTATAGGTTGCTTATTATTCTCGTCAGTGACGTCCTAAGGGTTGGGAGGACAGGGTGATATGAAGAGCGTTTCTCTCGACTTGAACAGCGAGATAAAGGGGCGGACACAAGCGGGAAGGATGATGTGAGGGGAACAAACAGGATCGGTGCGCTGGCTTTGACTGTTTGAGTCCCATGTAGACACAGACGTGCACATACGCATCTGCCAAAAAGACACTTGATGGCAGTTCTCCTTTGCTTTCGAAAGCCATTACTTCTAAGTTGCAACTAATCCCGCCACAAATCCTGGCCGAAGATCCTTCAAGCGAGAGGGCTCTGGATGCTCAGAATCTTTTTTTTTCTTTTAAATCAGCTGCAGTCCACATCACAACTTCCAAGGAAAAGCACATGTTGGAGAACAAGCATGTTTGAAGATACGTCCAAAAGGAATTCGGAATGTGATGGCGATGTTCGATGGAATGGACATGCACCCAGAAAAAAAGGGTCTCAAAGAGAAGCGTAGGAAAACAAAAACTAAAAGAAAAAAGAAAATCACATCTGCAACCATAAGGAGGCACGGGCCCAAAAAAGCACACGAAAAGCAACAACAGAAATAAGTGGATTTTTCGGAGAGGTTTTTGGATGACGACCTCCGGTGATTTCACTAGAACACGATGGGATTCAGGTGACCTCAAAGCTGCAGGATAGCTCCACTATATCACCGCCCACTACTTCTGTCGATGCACACAAGCTATTTGATACACATGGGGGGGACATGCAAGTTACTTTCAATGCAACCACATTTGCAGGTTGCTGCAAAAGTTATATACTCGCATTTTACATTCGCTGTGGTGCGAGTTAGTAGCGACATGTGCGGCTGTTTTCTCCGTCTTTCAAAATGTATTTAAAAGTGAATTCATTCTTTTTTTTTTTTTTTTTAAGTATGAAGACCATTCAGCCACTGAAGTGGACTCTTTCATTGCATACGTCCCTGAGGCTTTGTGCTGTGCAGTTCTACAGAGCAGCTGATCCCAAAGGGATCCGCCAGTGTTCTATTAAAAACACAGATTAAAAACGTAACCTTTCCTGTGAGCCTTTGTACGTTTCAGAATAATTTCATATTCAGCTGGAATTAAAAAAGATTATATATATATTCAAAGCCAAAAGCATTCACTTAAAGGTCACGGAAGATGACATTCCTCTGAGGGCAGTCAAGTCTGTGATAAATATACCAGCTGCAGTGTTTTTATGAGAGTTTCTTAAACAATAATTACTGGTAAAGTTGAAGCCTTTTGACCCGGCGTGTGTCCTGCGTGCGTGTTCCTTACTCCTCCCCCTTTAACCTCTCCGAGCCATTCTGCAACTTTGAAGCGCCGATTCCCGCTTACACGAGGCGGCCGATGGTCATGGTCTGAACTCACAGACTTCTGCTGGAAGCGCAAGAGCACCCGCTTGGTGCAGCGGTCCACACTGGCCGCCCACTTCCTGTCCGCCTCGCGGTCCTCCTCCAAGAGACAGCGGCGCTCGGCGCGGCTGAGGGTAACCGGGCGGACCAGCTGGGCCCAGCTGAGGTGACCGTACAGGCTCCGCTCCACCACATAGGTGATGTTCAGCTCGCTGACGGCCGCTCGACCTCGCAGCCGGCGGGGGGGGAACGCCCAGCCCCCGGCGCCGCTCCCGAAACCTTTCGACTTGGCTACGTCGCAGCGGGCGGGGGAGGAGGGGGCGACGGACAGAGGGGAGACGGGCGCCTTGGGGCCGCGCGAGCGCTTGTACAGCAGGTGCTTGGTGGAGTAGGCGTAGTTGGGATCGGGCTTCCGGTGCGCCCAGCCGCCGCCGCCGCCGTGGTGGTGGTGGTGGTGGTGGCGGCCGGCATGCGGCGCTTTGGGGCCGTCGTCCAGGGAGATCAGGAAGCGGGACTGGGGGCGGGGTTTGGGGCGGGGTTTGGTGAGGCCGTAGTAGGCGTAGAGAGCCTCGTTGTTACTTACCCCGTGGGAGACGGAGCTCAGGGCCTTCCGCATCTCGCCGTCGGTGGTGGAGCGCGACAGCTTCCCTTCGTCCTCCAGTCCGCAGCCATCCAGCTCGGAGAAGGACGAGGCGCTGCCACCCACGCCACAGTTGGAGCCTCCCAAGCCCCCGGGGCTGACGGGGGCTCTCCTGGGGGGCCGGATGAGGCCGTGGGTGCTGGACGACCTGTTGACGGTTTTGACCAGCCGGTGTCCGGACCAGGTGTCCAGGCTGTTGGAGGACGGGGAGTTGGTCAGGCTGTCGGTGTCTCCGTCCAGAGACAGTTGGTCCTGGGTCAGGGAGTTCTCCTGGGACAGGGGAGGCCGCTTGACGACCCCCGTGTACAGAGCGGCGTTGTCCTCACAGGTGGGAGGTGCCCCCAGATTCAAAAAACCTAGAGGGGAAAAAAAACAGAAACCGCACATAGTTGCTTACTGAAGTGGATTTTTCTGAGTACCAAGACCCATCTGAGGTTTTCCAAACCACAGCCAGCAAATCTTCTAAAAGTTCAGTATCAGGCAAAACACGACAGACAAAAATGTAATACAGCTTACACTATTTAAACAAGTCATTCATTTGAGTATGACTGAACTTTAACTTAATCTGAAAGGCTCATTTTAGTGCTTATTAAATTTGAACTCTACGTGGCTCGAAACACAAAACAATAGATGGCTGATGAAAATGTTGACAGATTTAAACTACGTTGAACTGCATAATAAAAAAGGTGAAAGGCCTGACAAAGCTGCACAAACCTTCGGAGGCATGCTTCTTGCCCTCCTCCACCTTGATGAGCTTCTTCCGGACGCGGCGCGTCGAGTTCACCAACTTGTGAAGCCGTTTGAACTTCACAGAGTCCTCCGATTGCTCGTCGTCTGACTGTTCATGAGACTGGTGGGAACCGGGGAAAGAAGAAGGGATGATATGATAAAAAGGGACATCCGTGGCCCCTTTAATGTTATAATCATGTAATAAGATACATTTTAAGATAATAAATAATGACTCAAAATGTGTTCTTCCAAACGGTGGAGCTGAGAGTTGAAGGTTAAAGGTTAACACACATTAGCATGTTTGTCTTCAGCATAACTTTTCACACAATGGGACAATAATACACAAACGTTGGTCAATTTTGAAGACGGCGCTGCGACGCGACGGGTGGAGCGTTGTTTAGGGTGGAGTCAAAGTTAGTGAGGTGAGAGATGGAGGGTTGGCGTGATGGTGGTGCACCTCATCATCATCTGAGGCGTTCGTTTATAGTAAACACAGAAAAAAAACGTAACAGACAAACGGAAAAAGAAGAAAAAAATTGCCACAATGGATTTGACAATAAATGGTTTAATTGGCGCTCGGTTGCCGCTCCGCTGAACGCCGCTGCATCTCAACTCTCCGCAGTGTTGTGGAGATGAAGAAAGAGTGAATAATGGAGTCACAGTTTCACCCCCCCCCCCATCTCCCCCTCTCCTCTCCCCCCAAACACACACGTTTCTCGAGCTGTGTACACATGCGCGGCGTCACAAAGGCCTCTATGTCGCGCGGACGATGCCGATGGGACGAGCTTTGGCCCAAACGCCCGGCCGGCAGGAACTACCAGCAACTACGCTCAAACCACTTGTTTAGTTTCCGTCTGCCACTGGTTGCTACAGCAACACCAGCTCTCCGGTCACACGCTGGCAGTTCCACTTTTAAGGTTGACTGCATTGGCTGCCAGGAGGGGGCACGTGCATGCGTCACACGCGCACAACTAGACAGCGCAGGTCTGCAGGGCTCAGCCGCCTGACTTAGAAAACGCATTCTCCTCCTAAAGCTCGGGCGTCAACAAGGAAGAAGCCACTTTTTTTTTTTTTTTAAAGCCGTTTCTGACCACGGGGCTGGCTCACGGGCTGCTGACATGCAGCAGGAATGATGTTAATGAGCGTGGCTTGGTCGACGGCCCCAAACCACCTTGGTAACATCATGTTATTTGGATTCCTGCAGGCACGGGTGTTACAGAACCTGACACATTGTGGCCAAGCTGGAAGAGGGAACATCCATTAATCAATGCGGCATTTGTGCAAGTCCACCCAACCAAACACACCTCCCCCCGCTTTGAAAAGCTGCACGATCAACTCGTCTGCCTTTTGTCACATCGGTCCAACAGACCAGAAGTACAGTGAAACGATTTATTCGCCCGCTCATAAAAATGCAGAAATAAGTTCTAAAGAGCCATAAATTCACTGTCCTTGTTCTCCCAGACAATCTCTCAACCGCACATTTGTGACTCCTAAAATCGTACTATTCGCCGTAAAGAACGTAATGAAGAAGTCCGTCTCAGAGTTGTTAGAAAGACACCAACGGTTGATTCGGTTTCTCTTAATAAACATTATTAAGAAGTGTTGCATGTTAAGTCACTTTGATTACTTTTGATAAGTTTTTGCCCTTATGTCGCGATCAGGAGATGATAAAGAGGAGACAACGATGTACAACACAGTCCAGAGGAAAAACACATGCACACAAAGACAGGATCGGCGGCCGTCGGGAAACAAGCTCAAGAGCAACAATTCCTTCGCCGCAATTGCCATTTCACGTATAAATATTCTTTCAACTTTAAAAAGAGACCAGCACAAATCATAGAAGAAACAACCCAAAAGTGCTCTGAAACTTACCAGCTCACTTAAAACCCCCAATATAGCGCTCTCTGTGTTAGCATCAGGTTAGCAGCAGTGGGTCCCACAATGCGCACAGCACATTCTCGCACATGCACAATCCACAACAGCGTCGCCGGCCGTGGGCGCATGCCGGCCGACACAGACGCGGCCTGTCAGGGAATTCGGCTCCGAGGGACGAGCGGCCCGTTTGCAGAAGAGCCGCACAGAGAAAAGGCGCGTTGTTCCCGCGGAGAACAATCCCAGCATTTGAGCGCCTGTGACCCCTGCTTCGATAATGGCCCGGGCCCTGGAATGTGGGCTCCGACCTCCGGAGGAAGACGGACCGGGGGGCGGGGGGGGGCGGACGGCATCAAAGAAAAAGGCACAGATTGTACATCATCGCACACACGCCGGCTGCATGCATGCGCTGTGCGTTAATGCGCCCGCATTTATAGAAGGCGCACACTGGCATGCACAACTATTTGAATTTGGGAATGAGGAGAGAGGGGCATTGTGCGACAGCAGTAGGAGGTCCCAGTGGGGAAGTAGCAATATTTCCTGAAGTGGCCAATTTTGGAACTTCGGGGGACGGGGGAGGCGGGAGACAGAGCTCCCCCTTTTTCGGGGGGCCTACAGGCAAGTGAAAAAAAAAAGTCTTTATCTTCTATATTTTTCTCTCTCCCTAGTTTCCTCTCGGCCTCCGGCTCTCCAGCATTTATTCACGGCCTCTGGAGCCGAGTTGCGTGTTCCTCTATCAATGCAAACTTCAGTCACACATCCATCCTTTCCGCCGTCTGCGAAATCCCCCAATCGATCAATCTTCTTCCCTACAGGAAGTGAGCGCCCGGCAGCGGAGGGGTAACGTGGGGGTCGACAGACCGACAAGTTGATCAGCAAACTTGTGCACAAGTCACAAAGTAGGTAACAGATATTTAGGACTTTATTCAGTTCAGGAATGAGTAAAAAAAAAGTCTAATTTAACTTAAGGCTGCAGCGCCAACCTTCCATTTACTGTAACAGGAAGAAGACTGCATGTTATTTCGATCTGAGAACAGATGAAAGGCCGCCGTGAGTCTACTCAGAAGTAACCTACATCTGCAGAAGGAAAGGGAAAAAACAAAAACAAAGAACTGATCTAACAGAACCGGACTGCCTGAGCTGCAGCTTCGCTACACAAAGAATACCCAAATGTTTGGAGGCCTCCTGGAGAAAAACAACAATTCCAACAAGAAAACCGAAGGCTATGAAGGAGGAGACCCATCGTACTGCAGGTAAATCAGGACACACATGACATGGTGGAGAGAGCGTATGTGCAGAGAAGAGGAGAAGGCGAGATAACAGAGAGAGGAAGGCCAGGTACACGTTGAGTGAGGGTGGTTTATGCATAATTAACAAAAAAAAAAAGGAAAATCTCGATGCAGGTTGTTTTTTTATTTCTATACCAAGTGAGGATAAACACACACACACACCCCAATGAAATAACAGCGGTCGTCCACCTCCACAACCTCCTTAGCTGGAAAATCCAACTTTAAGGGTGATTGTTTAGAAAGGAAGAGTCTCGGTTTTATTTATTTTTTGGTGGGGAGGGGGGGGGGGGGGGGGGTAGTGGGGCGAGTATGGGGTGTACTTACGTGGCAGTTTGAGGACTGGTCTAGATTGGATGCAGATCCGTCAGTCCACTCTGCAGTGTCAGCACTGCTGGACTGTCTGCTGCGCTCATAATCCTTCAGCTACGTGGAGAAGAAGAGTTTAGAGAGGCAGAGGAAGAGTGCACTCCCAGCATGCACCTCTCCGCAGGCTAAAGTGTGAGGAGTTTCAATGGAGGGCTTTCACAGTGCATGAGAACAAACAAAGGACTCAACCGGGGGGGTAAATACATGGTTTGTACGGTTTAGCACTAAACTAAAAGCCTGTTATGTTTTAATTATAGCATTAATCCATTCTAAGATGAATTGAGCCTTCTTTTCCGTGCGGTACATGAATCTTACACCACAGTTAAAAGAAGTTAAATCAACTATCCACAAAAAAGCTGATCATTCATTGGATTAACGGAGCGTCAATCACCAGAGGGGAGAGCTGCTACCAAAAAAACCACATATTGGCCAAAGAAAGATCAACGGTCTGAGAAGAAAAGGAAAAAAAGTTGGCGGATAATTAACAAGCTGCTCTGAGGAGAGAAATCCAGTGCTTGAATGCAGCTGAACCGACATGCCGCCCAAGATGGAGGCATTACAGGAAGTGATCGACACAGAAGGAGGCCCATGAAAAGAACAACAGAAAATGAAAAGAATTGAAGGGAATTTAAAAGGAAAGCAGAGTAACCTTCCACCATGTCCGCCTAGAGAGAGAAAGCCCAACGCACCAGAGCGACGTCCCAACAGATGGAGCGCTTGAGTCACCGTGACGTCAACCTCGCAATTACAAACCTCGCAAAACACCCACACACTCCAAGAGCTCACACCCTGAAACATTGGGAATAACCACGCCGCGGATTTTATTTTGCGTTCGGGTGGCGGTGAGTGGGCCGTGTCAAAAGACCACAAAGGCAGATTAAAACGCGGGCCTCGGAGGGGGGACGTGTTAGTAGTAGTGAGTCTTTTTAGTAAGTCAGGGCTGTGATGGGGATATGGAGCACACAGGAGGGAAGGCTGGAATCCACAGGGAGGTGGGGGAGAGGTGGAGGGGGGGTGGGGACTAGGCAGCCTACACAACTGGCACTTCTAAGGTAAGGGGCCGAGTGAGGGTGGGGGGGGGCGTAACGTGGGGGCCTCCTACCCGGCCGAGAGCTTCTTCAACGGTGATCATCTTCTCTTTCACCATCATCATCAGCTGGATTCGCTCCTCGTCGCTCATGGTGATCTCACTAGCCACATAGCCAATGTCTTCTCCTGGGAGGGGGCGGTGAGGGGGGGTGAGGGGAGGGAAAAGGGATGAAGAAAGTCAAAACATGGAGTACCGTGTATTCGGCGGATCGGAGACGTAGAGCCACACAAACCTTTGGATGGCTGTTTCATGACTGGTTTGTGCGGGGACTTGCGGAAGTTCTGCCAAAAAGACTTGTTCTTCTTCTTATTGTCCCATTTACCTAAAGGGGGAGGAGGGGGGGGCATGTTCAATGTTTAGGTGGTTAACAGCTGCATGGGCATGGATCATCGTTACAATTCATTCAGCGATTCTGTATGATCATTGCGCAAATAGGTGTGTCTGGATCTCCTTATCTGTCAATCCCACTCAAACAATCAATACATTATGCTTAATATTAAACATATTAGCCCGACAGGAGACAAAAATGCATCTCAATTTACCTCCAGATCCTTCTTCGGAGCTTGATTTGTGCAGAGACAGTCTGTGGGTGAAAGAGTAGAGACAGAATGAACCAACCATTAGAAAAATCTTCTTTCCTTCCTCTTACACTCAAACCATATAAGATATCCAGTCTCTGTCAACCACAGTGTTCATTAGTGTTCCGTTTTGGCAACGAAGGCTGCAGGTCCGTGAGCCACCACTTGGGGTCAGTGGTGGCATTTCTCAGACAGACAAGCCAGGTTCCTGAGGCTTGAGAGGGAGAAGGTGGAGGAGAGGATGCAGACAATAGCTCCCCTGCTGCAAAAAGCAGAGGATCAGATGAAGATGGTGCCACTAATGCACCAATAAACCAATAAAGAAGGTCAACAAGAAAAGAAAAAAAATAAGGCCAAGCATGTGAAAGGGAAGTGGGAACCCAGCAATGGAATCCAGGAAGAGAGAAACAGGAGAGAGAGAGAGAGACCACAAGGCAGAGTCAGCCGGTTTGCGGTTCCACATCCCTCCGCAGGAGACACCGTCAGACGGACAGAAAGACAGAAAGCATTAGAGACAGAGAGGTGGAAAATAACAAGAAAAAGAAGAAGTGAAGATATGTCCATAAAACCTTCTAAATAACCAATACAAACGCCTCAAACGCCGCCGGTGACACATGAACTGCACTCAGCTTCCAATCAAAAAGTCACGTATGAGCAGTCTCACCCAATATTCTGGCAATTTCAGCCGCATGTCAGGCTGCGGCTGACTACCTTGTTCTCGGGGACACAAGAAACCACATCAATGGCAATCTATTTCTACCCACTTTATATTAGTAGTAGCGGGGGGAGGGGGGGGGGGGGGGGGATAAGTTGCGGAGGAGGGAGTGAAGCTTCCAGGGCAAAATTCGTGTCTTAAGGGTGATGCCCTTATAGATGTGTGTTGTGTGTGTGTGTGTGTCAGACTATCACACACAAACCTTTGCGATTGAAGCACAAAGGCACACAAGCTGTTGAGCCGCGCAGCGAGACAGGTGCCAATGTGAAAGTGTGCGACACGATCACAACCAGATGAACAGGTCACCTCCCTCTCTAGTGGCCGTGCGTGTGTGTGTGTGTGTTCATACGTTTGTTTAGACGCGACAGCCCTGTCTTGGCGCGATGGGAAATCTTTACGTGGCTTGAAGCCTGGCTGCCATGGCAACGTAATGAGATGCTAATTGGATGGAGGCCCAGTGTTAGCTTCAGCATTAGCTTCGGCGCTAGCCTGAGAGAACCAACTCAGTAGACGCTTTTCCGTGGCAACGATCCCCCCCCGACCCCACTGCCACGCTCTAGAAATGAACCCCCCCCCCCGTGCAGAGCACGCACATGCGTGCACGTACACACATTTGTGCGCTCAAAAGCCAGACTATATTTCAAAGAGGGTGTCAGCACAGCCATTGTGTGGCTACGCAACTTAATTGCTTTAACTTTGAAACTCTGCCATGCCTTTTCTTGGGGGCCATTTAACCGCTTTTCTTATCGCATCAGTATAAGAAGCCAACTTTCTATTTTCCACAGAACTTTAAGCACAGTATCTTGAGCTTTGGCATCCTGTGTGACTGAGCCGCTGTACCGGGGAGGCCGATAACCCGACACACACAGAGCTGCACACGCAGCTGTGTGAACCGCGGCGTTGCACGTCGCGTATGTGTGCACGGGGGGGCTGTTGGGACGACCGGGCCCCAGCCAGCTGGAGCACGATGACCTCCGGTGTTCTTGCGGGGACAATGAAGGGCAGCGAGCGGTGTTACGCTAACAGTGTCCACAGGAAAAGCCCAGGGGTGAACTCTCTGAGGGTCTAGGCAAAGGTCAGAGGGCAAATGGAAGGGATGGAGAGCACATCTTATGGATAGGGAAGTAGAAGAATCATACAGATTAAAAAAAAAGAAGTTTTTGTGCTTATGCATGTATTTCCCTGAGGTTCCACGAGGGCCGCAACACCCACGTGTGGTAAACGCGCTGACGCCGTACTTTGGCTTTCCAACTCGGTGCCGTTGCTCGAAACCGATTCTTCATAACGCCACAGCTTATTTTTCCATTTGACTATTAGTTACATAAGCAGAGCCGCCTCCACGTTCTCAAAACAGGAAGCTCCCTAAACTAGAAGCCTTCATTCCCCGAGTGTCATCGACACTCGTACACCGGGCGCTGTCGGAGCAGGGAACTGCCTCCTGCCGACAAAGAGACCAGGAGACGCACAGACGGGGGGAGGAGGCACTGCCCGAGAGGATGTCTGGGTAATCTCCCCCCCCGGTGCCATTGTCCCGTTGAGAGGAGGCGACGGCGGGATTCTGTGTGTCTGCGCCATGTGAGGAACGTGTCGTCTGCCTTCACGTGAAAAATCACCACCTGAAACGTGTGGAAAGTGGGTGATATCCAGTGAAAAAGGGAGCCGGGGGGCCGCGTGAGAGTGAAGAAGGATTGTGAATAAGAAAAAGATTTCAGAGGCTTTTGGGTTGAGCACAACAAAAGACAAAAGACAATTAAATGAAGTTGATAAAAAAAAAAAAAAAAGTTATCTTACATAACTCACATAAGAACAAATAAATTCATTAAATGGGTGAAAACTAACGAGGTGTAGAGACGATTGAATGTGGGGCCGTTTAATTAAAGACTAATTAAAGGACTAGAAATGGATGTGAGGCACAGAGGAGGGAAAGAAACCAGACTGCTGTTTTGAGAAAGTCCCAGAAAGTCCTCAAAGAGACGTCATTCGAAAATGTGGCATCTGGTTCCCATCATCCTCAGCGCTTGTCTGTTCAACATATACAGCCATGGGAGAAGAGATCATGTCTGTGGTATGCGCTTCCTCTGCCACACGTGGTAGTCATCACGTGAACGTGACAATTCCACGGGGGGGTCACACGAAGGCGATGGTCACGGACAAAGACCAAATAATAAGAGATCATGAGTCACAGTATCTTCTCTCCTCTTTAAATGTAATGGAGACGTTTCTGGTCTCCACCAATGGGGAATCTTGTTGAAATCTCCTTTAGCCGTCTGGTTGGGAACAACAACGGAGACCCAATGGAAAGGAACCCCGCCCACACCCAGCTCCATCCTGCCCTCTCGTTCGCACTCCTTTGCGGTAATCATTTGGCCATCGCCCTCCTGCGCCCCCCCCCCCCCAACCTCCCACCAACCCTGCTGGACACAAAGGCCGGAAGGAAGGAAGGAAGGAAGCACGGGGCAGCCAGAAAGCAGAAAATGACTGCTCCACTGAACAGGTCAAACTTCCAGGACTTCCGGACTTCTGTCCCGAGCCGTCCCATAAGAAATCTGCAGGGATCTGATGGGGGCGCATCTCCCTCCTTGGCGCCGTGCAGAGTGTGATCCATGAATGTGTGTGTGTGTGTGTGTGTGCGCGCGCCAAACGAGGCGTGCGCGGTTTGATGAACCCCACGTTGTTTTCACGTGCAACAGAACCACATTTCATGTGTGAAGGAGATTGGGGGGGGGGGGGTGGGGGTACATAACTTTCGTCCGTTTCTGGAGTGGACACCTCCCTGCTGAAGCCTAATGATTCCTGAGACAGACAGAAGAGGCCGGCGTCAGACTGGCTTTTTAAGCCAAAAGGATTGGGGTCAAAGTGCACACGGCGTCTCTGCCTACCTGGATCTCAGAACGCAGTTGCAGGGATGTGCTGCTCGGATCTTGTTTCTCCTGAAAGAAAATAGCGAGAGAAGAAAGAGCAGATGTCAGCGTCAAGGGATAATCCTTTAATAACATACAAACTGTGACTTTGACAAGACTGGAAAGAAGAAAAAGATCTGCGTTCGGATAAGAACGGTGACGACGGAAAGCGCGAGTGGTATGTTAAATCCCTCGTGTGGGAAGGATCGTGCAGACACACTTGCATGTGAAAACAGACACAAAAAACACGTGTGCGCGCCAATGACGAGCAAACAAGTCTGGCTTCTGGTAAACCGGCAATACTTGTTCCTATTGTTGGTAAATACCACTGGGGGGTTGTGTAGCCTTATGAAGCCAAGCTGAACAACACAAAAGGCGCCTACATAACTGGCTGCGTGAATTCCAGAGTGACGTCAGCGCCTTCCTCTCAATGCATAACACAATATGAAATGGCAGCAGACAACCTGGCTTGTATAAAGAAAAAGATAACACAATAAGTGGGAAATACTCATTTTGCAATCGTTGTTACTCACGGCTGCTTCTTGCCTATTTAAAAAAGCAGGAGTCCTCGTCATAACAAATCCAGATGCAGATGCGCCTTGAACAAAAACGTTTCCACAGGCAGACAATCACAAGAGGTCTGTGACTTCAATTTTAACCTGCAGCATGCCATCACTTCCTGGATGGATCGGTCTGCTGCACAGTTCCCTGGTTGTGTGCTTTTAAACTCTCATGGAGGGGATTCCCCGACTCACACTCGCCCGATTCCACCTGAAAATTGAACAACCCTGTTGCTAAATTGGGAGATCTTATAATTAGGCCAAATAACAACACATAAATTAAGAAAGTTATATAATAGACAGCTCTTATTCTCTTTCTCTAATTGATCAGAGCCCAATGATAGAAGAAAACATAACCAAAGAAGTTTCTGTTTCTATTGCACCCTCAAAAAGTCCCCATGTAACTCAATAACTTTTATTTCCCTTTCGAAAGTATGTTATTTTTTTCCATAGCTAAAGACTACTGGAAGTATTACCTCATATTGTACATAATAATATGAGTTTAGATGCCAGTAATTCAGCTCGGCAGCCGGAGTCGCGTTGCAAATAGTTATTTTACCAGAGGATCCCTGAGATGATGGCAGCCAAGTAGGTTCGGTCTATACGGAGTTCCCCAATAGCACAGCAGGAATAGGAAAGGAACCGTTTCTAAGAAGTACGCGTCACCCTCTTTCCCCACGCCCAGATATCCGAGGAGTGCACTTCTACGTTCCTTATGCTTCCGAATCAGAGCGACCTTCGCTTTACCGCTTTGACAGGTCTGTGATTGACGGTTTACAATCCTTCCAAAACCTGAACCTCGAGCACGAGTCAGCGAGCCGAAAGTACTTAAAGTGACACAACCTCCCCTGTGAGCTCTTTAAGCACCTCTAACCTGCAGATCACAAGAGCAAGAGACCTAAAGTGCTGAGGTGGCAAAAAGCTTGGCCTGAACCCTACATTTACCCCGACAGTAATCTACTGTCGAGATGTGTGAGAGACGGTGTGGGAACTTGTACAAGCTGGTCTGGTCCCCCGGGCCTGCTTCTTCGCCTTGTTCATCTATTTGTCTGTTCCAGCGATCAGGCAGTAAGAGACACGGCTCGGGACGTTTCTTTGGAAAGTAAATCAACTGATAGTCGGATAAGCTCTGACACAACCCTCCCCCCCCCCGGCGGTATGGTCGAGTCCCATAAGTCAGAGAGCAGGTTACCCGGACATGAAAAAAAACCTGCTGTAGAAGACCAACAGACAAATAGAGACTTGTCTGTGGTTGCGTTGCCTAGCTCAGCATAGGGGACGCAACAGAGGAGAGCGAGAGCTTCACTTATGTTGGGCAAATAAACAACATCTACATCCCTAAACTCTGCTGGAACAACCGCCTGGTGCAGTGTGATGTGGGTGTCCACACCGAGGAAACAAGGTGTGTCCCCCGCATGCACACACAGTCACGGATTCATCCAGAAACAGTGGATTGCTATCAGATCCTCTCCGACGCGAGAAAAGATGTGCCGGCCTCACGGATGGGCGACTGCACCCACCGCGTCCCCTTTTTAAACGCACCGGCTCGCACACACAACAAAATATCCTCATATATGCTACCGGAGACACAAACCTCCACAGACACCCAAACAGAGGAGCATGTGTGTATACACACACACACACACACACACACACACACACACACACACACACACACACACACACACACACACTGCCACAGACAGACACAAAGCAGCGCTCTGTTCCTGCTGCTTCCCTTTACTCCTTGTCTGTCCGTGCCATCGCTGACATGGAAGGGTGTATAATTATATATATATATATATATATATATATATATAAATAAAGCACACCCCCGTTTGGCTTGAAGTGAAACTTCGCTGGGATTAATTTGTCACAGAATATTTGCGTAAAGGCTCCTCGGGCTCGCTCTCAGATCTGTGCATCACTAACAAAAGGAAGCCCAATTGAGCGGTGAGTTGCCAGCTCAGCTGACACAGATTCTGAGGGGGAACATCAAATGGAGGCGGCGGGGGGCATCTGCACGTGGAGCTTAGATCTCACAACACACTCCCGGAGGGAGCGTGTTATCCTTCACTTGAACTCACCAGCGTTCGCTTGAAACAGTGCTCTACTTACCTCGAATTGACACGGTGTGCGTGTGAATGTATGCATGTGCAGCCCCCCCCCCCCACCCCAAAAAAGGGCCACTGCGTGTGTGTGTGTACGTGCAAGGCCTATGATTCTCTAAGCATGACCGTATTGAGTTAGACAAAGAGAGAAAGCAGTGAGGGAGCGTATGGGGAGGGAATCCGGCTAACGAGGATCACTGTGCGTGCAGACGGGGGGTTGGGGGCTGTGGGGGCTGGGGGGGGTCTATCGTTAACCGAGAAGCTACAGTTAAACACTGCTCTGCTACATTAGCACCAGACTCTATTAACGATAGTGGAAGCACAGCAGCACCCCTCTATCCTTACTGCCAACCACGGAGGCAAAAGTAGCGGATGTGCGGTGAAACTGGGAGGGACCAGGTGGCGTAGTGGAGGTACGCCAAATGAGATGGGTGGGTGAATGTGGGTGGGCGAGGATGAGGTTTGTGGGAAGGCTCTGCGCATGGCGGGTGGGGGGGGGACAGGGATCGGGCACCAACTGGAACGGCCGGGGGCCAAAAAAGACGTTAGCTGCGGGACCAGAAAGCCTGCTGAACCGGCTCCTTTGAGAAAGTCCGCAGACACGCAACCTCACCTCACCTCACCCACCCAGGAGCAGGAAATACATGCGTGCCGTATGTGCCACCTCAGAGCGCGTTGTGTGACACCGCTGTCGGTTGCCTTTCCGTGCGCACAGCGAGGAGCGTTCCGATCGTCCTTCCTTTGCTATTTCAAGACAAATACCAGCGTTATTACAAATTCCGATGATGGCCTCGTGATGAAAATCGCTGAAATCGCAGAACAAAATTACAAATACGCCGCTTGCTTTGCGCCGGCGTTACGGCAACAATGAAGCTCGGCCAACGTCATTTGGAAGTAATCTTACAGCAACAGCGGCGGCTGTCGAGTGGAGCCGTTTCCGAGCAAAAGCCTGAAAAGGTAAAGAAATAAAAAAAAAAGGGAAGAAAAATAAGCCGCAGAGTTTGCGACAGTTTGTCTTTCTTCCCGCGCTGTAGTTTTAACCCGGCTGAACTGACACACTTTGAAGGCTGAACTTCGCAAAGGCCTCCTGGTCAACAAACAAAAACAAAGTCCGCACTGGAGTCTTCACCCCTTCATCTGTCGAGCTGCTCAGCTAGAAAAACCATTACGGCGCAATCCTCAGGCGAGCAGATCAATCTGACACCAGCTGAGGCGTTCGTGTGTCAAAAGTGTTTAAATTAGAAGGTCAACAGTGAGACGCCTGAAGGATTTTGGCCAACGCATCAAAAAGGGTTGTTTTTTTTTTTCCTTTCAAGGCCTGCTTGTTTGTCCGTGACTTCAGAATGACTTTCAAGGATATTACCACGGAGTGTGTTTCTCATTACGGGTTAAAGCACGTAGACGTTTGCCCCCCGAAACCACACATTTCAAAAAGGAGCCGTGGTGATTTATACTTGATGTACAACATCTGTTGCTTTCTCTGCGGTTTGAGAGATGTGCCCTTATCTTCTTTGAGGTTTGATGCTATCCACGCGCCCGCCCCGTCTCCTACACTTCTAAATTAGCTTCTATGTTCATGTTTTGGCAGAAAGAGAAAGTGACAGACAGTGAGGAGAAAATGCATTCTGGTAAAAGTCAGATATAATTATTGATCAGATTAAAAAAAATCCTGAACTTGGTGAAAGTATTGACCAGCATGTCTTGATTTTCAAAATTCCATTTTTGAGTACGTCAATAACCACCGGGAGGGCAACATACAATGTTAGGGTGGAAATAAAAGGGCAGCAATATAATAACACAATCCCAAACCCATCCGTAAAAGACAAAGAGGTCAAAGGTGTACTATACAAAACTCTTAAGACTAAATACAAGCTGAAAAGCACGAGCTGAGAGACATAAAAACAATACATGACTAAATATAATTATGACTGATCTCTGATTTGAATAGCTTTCTACATTGTAGGTTGAAAAGACAAATCACATTTCTAATAAATGATCTTCCGTTTGTGGCCTTAATTAAATATTACAGATACATGCAAAACAATGTAAAAACAGGAAGTTTGCTCAAAGCGGTTGTTAAGAGTTATTAAAATCTTTACTTTCACTCTTTGAATGATTTTTCACTTCAAAACCAAAAAAATATTTTAGAGTTGCCAAACTATTCACTTTCCTTCCTCTTCCACCAATAAGCTGTGTGCATTGCCAAGTCAGCATGCTAGTGAGAGGCATCCAAACTCTCATTTTCTATAGAAGCGCTAATCCATAGGTCACATTCCCAAAGGGGGGGGGGGGGTGTTTATTCAACCCCTCGTCTCCCTGCGCTCCATAAAACTAACACGAAGATGCTGTGGAGGCCCGGCCGGAAGTCACCACGGCGATAGGCATCTCTGAGAGAGCCTCTCTCATCAGCTCCTAATAGTGTTTCACCACAACAAGGCAGCCATGGCTTTGTCAAATCAGGGGCCCCGTAGGAGCTGCCAGACACAGAGTGCAAGAGAAAACAAACACACTGAAGCTCCACACATTTTTGTAGGAAGGTTTGCGTTGCAAGAACAGAAAAAAAAGTGTTCCTATTTAAAAGAAAAGAAAATCTTTTTTGGGGCCTCAACTAGAAACTGTTTTGGAGAACAGAAACAGTTAATGAGAGTACTTCTTCTTTCACTGTGTCATCACCACATTTAAACAGGCCACATTTGAAGTATTAGAGACGAAACATTCCAAGATTTGGAATAAGACAGTCAAACTTCAACCCTAAGCTTTACTCTTATGCCACTATTCTTGCCCATTCCCCTTTTCCAGAAGTCTCCTCACTTTGTGGTCTGAGGCACACAAGGCGATACAGCAGACATCTCAGGGCAAGACTACATGAATACCTGTAGTGTCTCCTATGTATTTGTACATTTGGATTTATTGTAAGAATGGAGGGACTGAGTGACCTTCTAGGTTGCAAAAAGCTACTTTGGAAGAGATGCGAGATGGTTGGAGTTCCTCATCAGCAATAGAAAAGAACTGACCCACTCATTTTGAGTGGGAAAATAAGAAAGACAATGACTGCAGAGGGCGCGGGGCATAACCGAGTCACTCATCATCCTGTGCCCTTTAATAGTGACAAGGCAGCCCCTGAATGAAGGGTAAGTCCCAGAGGAACGCAACCAGCCGAATGTCTCCCCGTTAACGTGGCGATTGGACACCGTGACCTTCAGCAACTACCTGCCCTCGGCGGCGTTTGACGTTTGGCTGCAGCCGCGGATCTCGGGACGCGGCGTTATTGGCTACTCTCCTCCCGACTGCGTCCATTCTGCAGCGCACATCGCTCACTTCCTCTTGGTCCATCGCGCCGTCTTGGTCTATCAAGTTCTACAGGTACCGGGCCACAGGCTCTCAGTCTACGAAGCCAGCTAGCCCAGTGGGAAATATTGCCTCGGAGGAAGTGGTTTTGCTCAACCCACCGTTACCCTCAGCCCAGATACGGCTGTTCTCCAGTTCAGTCACCTAAACCTAATTTTAGAAAAGGATTTCACTGAAATTCAAGGCCCAGTTCAATCCATATAGCGTAGGTTGATGCTGCGCTTTGGAGAACTCCCTCCCACTCTGCTTTTTCCTCTCCTTCTCCTATATTTTGGTGCCAAAAATTGCCGAGTGGGGAGACAGCTGCAGGCTCCAGTCTCCACTCCTTCATTCCCCTCATCCTCCTCCCTCCGTCTTCCTCCGTCCGCATCCTCATCCTCCTCCTGTCCTGGGCTTCAGGCTCAGAGCCCAGTCAGCTCGTTTCCTCTCTTCTAACTCTCCGGCCTCCTCTTCACTGGTTTTTATATAGTCAGGACGGAAGCTTCGCAAACTATAAAATGTCCGGCGGTAAATCCATATTAATGTAAAGCCAAAAGGAAGGACCCAGAGAGAGAACACATCCTGGTATCAAACCAAAAAAGGTATCTATGTATCCGTGGGCTTTTTCCAATGCCTGAACAGGACGTCTGCAGGGCGAGTTATTAAAAAGGAGGAGCACAATAAATCAGCTCTCCATCTGATCCATGCGTGATCCAACCAAAACCACATGGCTGGATGAGGCCTCCTTTTGAACTGGCAAATCAGAGACGACTGTAATCTATGAGCATATCTGCCATAACAACGCCAGCAAGAGCACAATCTGTCAATGGAGACCACAACCTGTTTTTGTCGGATATTATTGTTACATTTGCGGTACCAAACATCCTCATCTTGATTCAGTTAAGAGATTTTACTAAGATCTACAGTATGCTGTAGAATTGAGAAAAGACGGCTACATTATTTTGTATATATTGATTTTAGAAATGAGAACAAATCCAATGTTTTCCTGTACCATGTATTCAACCTTATCAGATATGTAATTGACAGAACAATAATGACTTTAGCGTCGCACTCAACACGCGCTCTTACATTTGTGCACCAACTGCAACAGTGGAGCTACGCCCTCCGTGGCGACACCATCAACATTCCTCCATACATTTGAATGCTGCTAGGCAACCAAAGGGGTCCCCCCCCGCTACCCTACATCCCCGTGAAAAGGACCCCCAGAATACAAATGCCTACTCATGCAGAGGAGGCACACTGCCTTTGCACATCCATGTTTGTTCCACTGCTGTTGCTGGTTGTTGTTGTTTCTTGCCAGGTCGTTGGCTAAAACTGTGGAAATTACACTGTAAAACCATTTTTAAAGGTCATTCGATTTGCCAGAAAAATGGTCCTTTATCCAAACAAATCCGACCAATGGTTTTGCCGACTCCACGAGATACACACACACACGCACACGTTAAAGTTGTGTGTTTGAAGTTACCATGTCGTCCTCTTGGGAGACTCGTCTTTTGCGCAGCTCCTCCATGCGGTCATTGACGTCACTGAAGCAGGTGTTGTAGTACTCAGAGTACTCCTGGGCGAGGTCATCTATGTTGCCCAGAGAACCGTCCTGGAGAGAGGAAGAGATGACACGGTTTAGCCGGGAAACCACGACATCCCAAGAAGGGAAAGCTGACAATGTAAATCAACAGGAAGAGAAGAAGAAAAGACGATTTGATATCCAGGGAAACATTTCAACCCAACAGTAGATCCGATGCTTGTAATGTATGTATTGTCTTTATATACACACACGCTCCAGACCCAGACAACCCAAATATACCCCTCAATAAAAGGTCTGTGTATTTTCGGTCGTTCATTCTTATCAAGGCCATTCAGTGACTTTGTCCTGACCCGATACCGGGTTTTGTCTTTATCGAGAATACAAATCAAGGATGCCCTTTGCCTCCTCAGACGTTCACCGAACCGCAAACCAAAACACACTCTTCCGGTCGGCTGTAATTTAAGATCAACACATTTCCTGTCTTTGTGTGGAAGACGTGTGTTTAGGATTGAGGGAGGAAGCCGTGCGCCAAACAGAGAAGACATTAAACCCACAGAATAGTCTTTGGATGAAACATTGAAGACTGACCTCAGAGTTAGTTTTGGAAAATGTAATAGTTAACTGAACCGTGAAGCGGGACCATGAATGTGTGAAAGTTTGGCGTAAAAAAAACAATCTGGGTTGTACTCAATGGAGTTCCTAACTACGCATGTTCCATCAGACCGTCTTCGGTGGGAAGAAGAGCGACACTGCTCTTGCTTTGGTGAAATATTTGGCCATTCCGGCGGTGATGGGAAACCGTTGAATATTCATCGGTGTTGATCTAATCTGTGCCAGGCAGACAGCGGGCATTGAGTCACCGCGCAGGGTCCGAACAGTCTCTCTCAGTCCCCGTCTTTCTCGACCGGACCCCCCTATCTGGGTGCCAGGCCACAAGTGAATGGATCGCTGTGAGTGCGAGTGCCACAAACGCGCGCACGTGGGCATGAAGCCCCGGCGAACACACATTAGCATTCACATGCATGCGGACAGGAGATTTAAAAAAAAAAAAAACATTGGACCCAAAACAAAACACAGGAAAACCAAATCATCTCCAACGCAGCTCAGTGGACTCCGTTATGAAAGGGCACCAACTGGTTGTGCAGGGAACACAATGTTACCGACAAACACATGTTCCGTGTCGGAGTGCATCTTGGCGGCCGGCGATCTGCCCTCCCTGTCTCGTAGCTTGAGAAATTCTACTTCTGGCCGGACAAACGGTCCGAGAGGACCGAGGTCCCCAGTGGGAGCGCTCGCCGAGCGGACACATGCTTTCCCCCGGCATTCCTTCAATCCAAGAGATTGAAAGCACGCTCTCCTGACAGAACGCCAAGATGCTGTAATCACCACACACACACACACACACACACACACACATCACAATTGTGCTTTTCACCACTTGATTGAAAGAGCGACTTCTCCAGTTGGTGTTAAAGAAAAGCTGGATCATCCAAGTGGAATTCATTATTCGAGAGTAGCTGTTCTTCTAGCCCCCCCCCCCCCTCCTTCAGGAACGTCAGATATGAACCTGAGAAAGTGGACGAATGAAGCTGCACGAGCTGGCGGTCCTCAGTTTGATGTGAGGTCTTTAGCAGACGTCCCCGTGTGTGTCCGCGGATAACCGAAATTCTCGCAATTCTCTCATGGCGCGAGCACAAGGCGGTCCGACCCAGCTGAGCCCCCCCCCCTTGTAAAGTGATACTGCATATGCTCAGTTATGTACGTATCAACTATGAGGCGGCGCGTTTGGAAAGGCAAACCTTTTTAGAGAGAATCTGTCAACGTAGGAGTTTTGGTGGAAGAGCATCGGGGTGGGTGGGCGCGCGGGGGGGGGTAAGGGGGGGTTCCGACAGTGGTCCACACATCCAGTGTGGAAATCTGGGCCGGGGTGGGTGCCGAGCACGGACAAGGGATGATTTGTGGGATACTGACTAGGGCAGCTGTTGGGTGAGAAGAGGATAAAACATCTGGAGTCTGGGTGGGAAGAAACCAAAATGTATCAGAGAGAGATTCTAGGGACGGGTGTTAAATCAGTTTACCTGAGCTGGAAAGCACACGGGTCTCTCTGTGTTACCGTATGTTGCTAAACAACAACACTAAAAACAATGCTTCTAAATAGAAAACACTTTTTTTTTTTGAAACCAATAAAGAACAACGTTCGAAATGGAAAAAATAATTCAGCTGATGTAACTGCTTCTCCACCCTCGAGGGAGGGAGGCCAACTCCCCATCTTGACTGGAACAATAGAAACAATAGTCAAAAAACAACACCCATGCTCATATCTGTGAGTGAGCGCGCGTGTGTGTGTGTGTGTGTGTGTGTGTGTGTGTATTTACAGTAAAGTGTGTGTGTGTGTGTGTGTGTGTGTGTGTAAGCGTCATTTACTGTCGAGGTGGCTACTCCCAAAGTGCAGCTGAAGTTGTTCAGACCAAACTGCGAATAAAACCGCTTCGCGTCGCTTCTGGACAAATTCAAAACTGGACTCACGACAGAGAAATAAATTCTGAGAAATGTAGAAGACGTTCACACAGCTGCAATAACTGACTTAGTGGCTGTTTAAGCATCTAAAACACAAATTACTGGCGTTGCACCGCAGTGGATAAATATTTCAGCAATGTGTGATATGGTTGCGACGGAGCCATGACCGAGGGATTTACTCAACATTTTTTTAATCAGGATTGCGCTGGAGGAACGCAGACTATTTGCCATCCATGCTGAAATCCCTGGATGGAAAAATAAAGTTCATCCCTTGACTAACGAGAAACAAATCAAATACCGCCAGCTTTGGTTGCCAACACGCTGTATAAGTACACGGTTACCAAAGGCAGCGCGGCGCCACACTAAATCGTGATCCAGTAGCCTCTGCTAACTTAGTCAATCAGTCACACGATTCCTGGCATTCTAACTACCACAGAAGGTTCGTCTCCTGCCACTTTCAATGAGTCCATTAGTAGTTGCAGGTCGCAGAGTGCTCGTTTGTTTAAAAGCACGCCGAGAAGGTTAGAGGCCATTGTCCCCGCGCCCAACGCGTTTGCTCTGGTCAGTCCTCCGGGCTCACATTCCTGAATGGGTGGGATGCTGGCGTGCATTGGTGTTAACCATTGTCCCCAAGGCCAGCTGGTGACGGTCCCCTTCTCTCTCTGAGGGGGGGGGGAGGGATATACTGCCGAGGAAGGTGAGGCCAGGGAGCAAAGTCCACCAGCTGCTGGGCTTCCTGAGGATATCCGGGCTTCAGCCGAACACCCCTCTGCCGTCTCAGCAGAGGAATCCTGCCGGTTCTCCATCAGTGACCTCGATGGTGACGTCAGTCAGGAAGGCGGAGCAAAGGAGCAGCGAGCCGAGTCGGAGCGGGAAACGATAGACACAATTAGGCTATGATTTAGGACTTTGTAAGAACGTCATTGGCAAAGATATAAAAGGGGCTCGGCTCACTATTTGGCAGAAAAGGACTCCGTGTGAAGTGTTATGTGGGAGGAGGGACATACATCACCTCGTTTTACCATTTGCTTTGCAGACAATCGATATCCACGTCTCAAGAGCAGTCTCCAAGTCCAGAGACAAAGCACCGTCTCGCACTTTTTACAAATGCACACACTCCCACCCACGCCGTGTGAAACACCACAAAACAGGAAAGAATTGCTGCAGGCAAGTAAGAGATTTCCACAAGGCTCAAGACGACCGCTCAAGCAAAAACGGGATGAGAGGCTTCTTTCAGAGGAGCAAAAATTGAATTCCGGATGACTGTCAGCTGTCCAGGTTTGTGATCAAATCATCTAGACTAGGACGGACATTTAGGAGTTAGCCCTCAGTGAAGGCATGTTGAAAAATCACCACCGTGGCTCTCTACACTAACCACTGCAGACTCATAGAATATTTGCAAAAAAAGGAGGTACAACGGAGGGGAACGGGAACGGACTATTGCAGAGAAGTCGAATGCATAATGCAAAACATGTACAGTACAAGTCAAAAGTTTGGACACATTTTCTCATTTTAATTCAATGAGAGAGTGTGTCCAAACTTTTGACTGGTACTGTATGCTGAAAGTTGGGCCGTTTTAGTGCAGTTCATTTATCTAGAAGAGGGGCGGGACCAGAGGCAAATCCACATTCAGACATCTGTAAACCCGACCGCTTAACAGCACTATGAGCTCCAGCACCATTCTGTCACAAACCGCCTTAGGCTCTTTATTAGCGCAAGTGCTTTTTACCACAAATAAACGACTGGCTTACTTCGGTATTGTCAGTATCTACATTCCACAACAGACCGACTTATGTGTGGGATTAACCTCAAAGACAAAGACGTCTAAAAAAAAAAAGAAGAAAATAAAAGCTTGAGGCCAAAGAGCCTTTTGGTTTTCTAGATAAAAAACATATTTTGAGGGTGCAAAGGTAGATCATAAGTATAATGGCATAATAAGCCTTTTGAACAGATCTTTATCAGGATGTGTGTCTATCTGTGCGACTGGGCCTGTTCTCACGAGTGAGGAGCCAAAAGCAAACGTATTGTTAACAGCGAGTTAAACTCGGGTCAACAAGGGCATTGTGTTCCCGTATTGGCCTCCCGAGCAGAACAAAAGCCATTGAGAGTCACAGTGGTTCAATTAGCAGATCCATTTCCCTTTGAGGTTGATGGTGTCCATTGTCACAGGTCGACATGAACGTCACAGGTCGCTTAAAGATACCGTGTTACCCAGCAAATTGACTTCAGATGCCCTTTGAAAGCGGTGCAAATATAATGTAGTGTACTTATTAAGAAGCATGAGAACGTTAAAACGTAAATGACATTTTCTCCATTAAGTCAAAAAAAAACATCAAACCTCCAAACGAGCATTCCAACAGAAAACCACATACCAGCGTGGTTGTCAGGTGGGTAGTGCGGAAATCTGACCTGTTGAACTTTTCAAAAGACACCGTCAGCAGCCAAGAAGACGGATCAAGTTCCAAACTGTCACACTGCTAATATTTCCAGTATAGTTGCGATGGAAAAATAAGACTGTTGCAACGATCCAATCCTCCCCAAGATCGAGGACG